AAAAAAAAAAAAAGAATTCAGCAAGCCAGGTGCTGGTGGCTCGCACCTGTAATCCAGCTACTCAGGATGCTGAGATCTGAGGATCACAGTTCAAAGCCAGTCTGAGCAGGAAAGTCTGTGAGACTCTTTATCCCCAGTTAACAACCAGGAAACCAGAAATGGCTCTGTGGCTCCAAGTGGTAGAGCGCTAGCTTTGAGCAAAAATAGTTCATGGACAGTGCTCAGACTGTGAGTTCAAGCTCCATGACCAACAACAATAACAAAAAAAATTGATACTGGCTGTGAAACTTGTGTGAAGCAGTGTGTGCCCAGGCAACGTGAACACACACTAGTGAGAATTCCGTTCTCTAGACTACACAACACGAACCTTTGCTGTGTACTTTTGGTGTCAATATATGTGTATGTATTTCTATCTAATAAGGAATGGATAATCCTTAATTGTTCTATAACTTGTTTTTTTCCCACTTAATACATAGGGATAACCTTCTCCATAGTGATCCAATTGACATTTAGGTTATTTTCCTTTTTTTTTTTTTTTGCCCCTGCAAATAACTATTGTTTTCATTCATTGTGTACTTCCACTTCATGAGGCAATTGGATGTCATTTAAAATGGTAATGCTTCAGCATAAGTCCTTCCTACATTGGGTAAAGTTCATGACATAGTTCATGTTGGACCTCTTACAAAAGATGATGGTCCACCCATTGCACTGGCCCACCAGTGTTTTGTAAAGATACCATAGACGCTCTGCATGCACTTAGCTTCCCCTGCCCAGGAAAGCAACAGCGTAAAGAATAAAGATAGCTGGGAACTTTTAAGTGAATTTTTACAAGTTAGCCAGTTCAAAAACATTTTTGTCTGCACTGAATTGTCCTCCTCCATTCTTGAACACTTGTAATTTGATTCAAATCAAGAAGGCCTTGCCGGTGGTGTCTCCTCAGTTCCCTAGTGGCCTTCCAAGTATTTTGAGAAGTGCAAAACTTTAACCTTTGCCGAAAGAAGGGGTCATCCTCACTGTGAAGCCACAGTGTGTGCTCTTAGAGTCACGGGGCTACCTTGGACCACCAGACACAAGTGATTTGGCCCTCAACCGTGAACAGACTAAGCTGTAGCTTTAGTCTAAGAATATGAAAACTGACAACAAATTACTGCATGTGGTCTACTTCCAGTTTTCAAGTGCAAACATACTCAAGTTTATTTTAAATTTGAGCCATTCAGACATTTAGGAATACGCTTCAAAGAAGATGTGAGGGCCTCCATGTTATTATTTCAATATGATGTCTGTTCTAATAAAGCTGAGAATGCATATGATAGACAATGTAGCAGAAATTCTCTAGCTCTTCAGTTTGGCCTTACATGTATACATATATTTGTAAATTAATACAAAACACATTGTCATGGTTCCAATTCCCCTGGAAGCTGATTGTTTTCCATCCCTCTTTTAATTTTAGAAATAGTGTGGCGGACTGCCAGGGCACTTGGAGATAAACATTCCACCCCACGAATGTTAGCATGAATGTTGGAACGCCACAGAATGTCATTTATGTTATAAAGTTATTGTGGTCTACCCTATTAATTAAAAAAATAGCCATCTGTGCAAGGTGAATTTTGGTAAGACACCAATTTTTTGAATGATTCTCGATGGAACTTTCAAGTGCTTTGAACAGTGTAAGTGTAGCCAAGGGATTCCCACGATGAAGGGCACTGTTTATGTAATTCTGTGGTCACGACGGAATTTCTAATACAACACTGGAAACTCTTCTTGTTATTCACTCAGAATTTACCATCCAACGGAAGGGAACTGGCCTGCTCATAACGGCCACTTTCTACTCCAACTTTCCTACTTGAAACTTTGATTTCATTTAGACCTTCCGTTACATTGTCTGCCTTTGTCTTTCTCATTCACGTGCAGTCACAAACGCACATACACACATGCATCCTCTACAACTCCCATTTTCTCAGCGCTATCACAGGCCTGTGAAGGGGGCACGAATGAAGGCGCCAGCAGCCGGGGGTGCAGAGACGTGCACTTGGGGACTGCGGGGTGATCTGCGCATCGTTTTCGGTGCACCTTTACTTTCATCCTGAATTTAGCTGTTTGTAGCATCTTATTCCCATTTGGGCAAACAACCTATAAACATAGATTTTAAAAAATCTCAGAGGAGTGGAAATCAAAAGGTGTGCTACTCCCTTGTGTTTGGCAAGAAAATACTTTGACACAATTTTTTTTCCCCCAGTTGTCATTTCCCTCAGGATTTTCAGTCAATTAACATTTGTACTGTTACAGTGTGCGGCCACTCCAGTGTCTGTGATGAGCAGTCCTTCTTGTGTGTGAAGTCATTCATTATCTCCATTACCAAAAGGAGAGTAGAGGACAATGACATTGTTTGCAAGAGTCAGGGTGTTGGGGGAAATATGTGCGGTGGTCGCAGTGCGGCTTCTGACAGGAGCGATTGATGGCTGGGCTGGTGTGAGTGGCCAGAGCAGCCTCGCAGGATGCAAATTACTGACTGTGGATTCCAATTTAGCCGGTTCATTTTTCTTGCCCGTGCTGAAGACCATTAGTGGTTTTTGAAGCAGCGAAGGGTCATTACTAATGTGGGCAGGCCTGAAGCAGGAGGGGGAGGAGGGGAAAAGCCTTCTGTAATTACACAGCTTCCAGGAGCAGGCTGGAGGCCCTAGCCAAAAAAGTGTCAACACCTCGCAATCAGAAAAATTTATTTTCATTTTATGCTTAACCCATATTAACTCAACATTATCATCTTTCTTTGTTAACATTTGCAGAATATTAGAAGCCTGCCTCCTATACTAATATAAATCTAGTTAACCCTTTTGCTATTCAGGGGATTTTGTGTAACCTGATGGCATTTGAGTTTGCTAACAAGTAATTGTCTGCATTTTGGATAGCGTATGCTGTTAGAGAAGACAAAGTATCTGAAGAGTCAAATCTTAATTATGGAAAAATGTCCACTTTCTCAAATGCCAGGGTGCTCTGAATGGAGTAGTGTGTGTCGCCCAGGGCCACTCTGTAGTAAGGTCGATGGGAGATATTTATTAGTAAAGACTTCCTGGTTTTCGAATGACTGTGACACACTTGATAAAAGTTTACTATTAGGCTTAAGAGAACAGTGAGTTCAAATCAGGGACTTTCTTAACAGATATGTTTCTATAATTATGTACACTGTAGCACAGGGGCTTTTCAAGTAAATATGAGATTCCAAAACAACAATACTGGATTTCACATTGAGAGAAGAAAGCGGAGAAAGCGGACTGGTTGCGGAAATGGTTCATTGCATATATGGGTGAAGTAGAGAGTTCAACCCCAAAGCAAAAGTCACTGAAATGTATGGCTCCGTTCTCTTACTGCTGTACTTTAAGCTAGCCTGTTCAATTTCCACATGAAGCTCTGGGCCAATGTGTGGTCCGAGCACGTGACCCTCTCAGGCCAGAGGACTAAGTAATGAAAATGAAAGAAACTTCCATTTTCCCATAAATAAGCAATGTACATATATTGTAAGTAAGTTGTGCTGCAACTTAGCTTACTTAGTAAGTATATCTGAGCCTCCTGTCACAGCTTTCGGAATCCGTCCTGCACACCACGTTCCAAAGGTTTACTCCGTAACCTCACGTTAACTAGGAAACGGGACTAGACCCAGTGAAGGTTTCACAGGTGATTTCTGGAGACAGTGAGGTGGGCTTAAACCCGATTTCTCTGATGCAGCTGCCTGAGTGAAGATGGCCTCCATGCTGTCCCCATCCCCAAGAGCCGGTCCTGCAGCATGTGGGGGGCCAGGGGCTGCCGCCCTGCGGGCCCGTCTCTGCCCACGCTGCCCTCCATTGTCAGACAGGCGTGCGAGGAAGGCCATAGTCTAGGGAATGGCCAGCGGGGCTGTCATCTTTGAAGCGAGTGACTCTTTCCTAACTTCTGATACATCTTTTAAAACATTTGTTTTTCCACTAGCATCCGTACCCTTCTGAAGAGCAGAAGAAACAATTAGCTCAAGACACAGGACTAACAATTCTCCAAGTAAACAACTGGTGAGTGACCCCAAAATCAATGTCTTGGCTAAATAATTGTTTGCTGCTTTTCTCTTTCTTTCTTTCTCTTTTCTTTTCTTTCTTTCTTTCTTTCTTTCTTTTTTTCTTTCTTTCTCTCTCTCCTTCCTTCCTTCCTTTTTTTCTTTCTTTCTCTCTCTTTTTCTCTCTTTCTCCCTCTCTTTCCCCCCTCTCCCCCCTCTCTCGTTTTTGATATTATTTCAGAAACAAATGAAACCGAGGAAGATACATTTCTTCCTTGAAAGAGATGAACATAGAGGAAAGAGAGAGTAGCCCAGGGAAATGGGTGTTGTGTAAGATTTCTCTTTCCTCTCCCTCTTCTCTCCTCTTTTCCCTTGTTCTTCCTCCCTACTTCATTTCCCTCATCTTCTATGTTTAAAAATCCTCACATGGAATTGCAAGTTCTGTCTGGGCCATTCCAGACAGAACCATTCCCACAGTGGGGGGTGGTTTGGCTGCAAAGCCCCCCCATCCAGTCCCCACTTCTGAGATGGTTCCTTTGGTCTAGGCTGTGAGGGGTGTTGTGGGTACCGTCTCCTCCTAATAGAAATTCATTTACCCTAATTTTGTTTTAAATTGAGAAAAAGGTTTTTTTCCATTTTCGGTTTGGCGATTTGGAAGATTACGCTTGTGGTGGTAGATGGGCCGTCGAGCCTTTGTGCCTGGCTTAGAGGGTGACAGAGGGAGAGGAGGGGCTGCGGATTAAATAAAATGATCGCAGCGGCCAAGAAATGATATAGGAATTACTTATCAAAATACTGGCCCAGGTTTTATCAGCAGCTTAATTTTGTTCAGTACATTCTTGGGGTGATGTTCAGATTAATTGAACTGACAGTTCTCTTTCAAAATTCAGGGAAAGTATTTGCACGGATTTCAGGCCTTATACAAACTTAATTACATGGAACTCCATTTTATCATTCTAATTCCATGTAGCAGAGGTTGTATTTACAAATGAGAAGTCTCTGCCTTTATTCACAGCTTTCCTTAATATATTTATCAAAGCAGGTTCATTTACAAAGTGCTCTATCTGTGGGATACAGGCAGGCAGACATTAACAAAGCTTTTAGGTTTATCAGGCTCGCTGCCTGATGAGCTACCCGAGGGTCAATTGATTTTGTGGTTCTGTGATTCATTTTTTTCTCATTTTTCTAGGATCACAATGAGAGACATGCTTGGAGAATTAGCCAGTTTGTCTGCCTTATCTGTCAGGCAATTTTTTTTTTCCCAGGGAAGTCAAGCTACTTAAATTGGCCACAGGAACTGCCGTTATCTGACTTTAATGCACCCTATAGTGCGGATAGCATTTCAATTATACCAGTAACCAAAGCTTAGCTGCAGCCCTTTCATGCCCAGTGCTGTACAGAAGGTGATGTGCCTACCTACAGAAGCAGAAAATTGAGTTGCCTTGCTTCTGTCAGGGTGATTAATGCAGAAATAAACTGCTAACCTGAAAAGAAAGGCAGAGAGAAAGGATAGACAATACAGACTTGAATTCACTTTAATTTTCTTTTAAAGATTGGAACTATGTACATTTAAAGATACCCTTTAGACCAAAAACTTGGAAGAAAGGAGGTAATCTTCAGGGGGAGGGGGTTCTATGGATATGGGTCTCACGGAGTGAATGTGTACGGTATCGAAACGTGTGTATTCGCATGGTGATCTAGTCAAGCACTGGGTGTTCTGAATTATTCCAATAGATATATTTTGTGTTAGCTACAAGACAGTGTTTGCCCTCAACATTGTTTTCAAGGGTACTGATTGCCAAACGGAGAGAGGAGGTGTAGAGCCGCTCTTGATGTCAGTAATGCTGCATTAGAACCATTTTCTGTACATTTTAGGCAAGTTGAGGGATGTTGTGATGGGAATTCTTGAGTGAAGTGCAGTTTCTGTGTTGCACGTGGCTCTGGCTCTTTTGGAAATGCTTTTGCACATCACCCACTTCTGGTGGTTTTGATGTAATCTTTGCATGGAAACAAGGAGGAACTTCCCTCTGTAAAGAAGAGCGTTCCCACACACACCTGGCTGCTCCCTGGGAAGAGCCCCCTTCCGTCTGAACTCCACCCTGCCCAGGCACGCACCAGGGCTTAGCTGATGTGATATCTTCAGTTTCTTGTTTCTGTTATTTGAGCCCCGAATACCAAGGGCTAGGACGTGTCAGTCTGTCACAGGGCATACTTTGCACAGCTTGGTACGCGCTTTGACACCTGCATCTCTACGAAATAATTCCGTCTTCCTAATTTTCACACTTCCTTCTGAAAAATTCTGTAATCCTGCCCTTAGGCAGGTTCTTAGTTAACCGCTGCCCCAACTTTGATAAGAAGGTGAGACTCACGAGGCTGGTGGATGGCAAAGGCCCTACGAGGCTGCCAAGAATTTCATGCAGAGACCCAATTTCTGAGGATTTCACAAATTCAAAAGAGAACACCCTCCTCCCCGCCCTCCCGCCCCTCTATGCACTTTAAGCCTGTCCCAGTGCCTGGCCAACACAGCTCTTCACAATAGAGAAAGCCATCCACCCGGCCCACAAGTGTTCTCAGGTGCACATAATGGCATTAGGAAAGGGAGAGGCCGCCACCGCTTTCTGTGGGTCCTGGAAAGTGCACAGTGGACCACGGGAAGTTCCTAAGACGTGGTGTGGTCCTCATCCACTCAGTCACTGCTCCGTGGAGGCCAGTTCAGGCTTGTGCATTGTAAGGTTTGAACCCAAAAACTCAGAGTAGTAGAGAAAGCCTGCAGATGATTCAACCTGGAGGGACCTGCCGCTCCCATTCCACTTCTCACCTCGTAAAATACAAAGGCCAGCCAGGGGAGGCGGCTGAGTAATAAATAAGCCGTGGACGCTGGCTCCGCACACTTGGAGAAGCAGCAATCAATAAAAACAAGCGGCCAGAAAGTCTGGACTTCAGGACAAATGAGAAAGTTGGGAAGAAAAGTAAAGATGTGCTGGAGCGCAGCCTCCGGTGTTAGAGATGCGGTGGGGTTTGCCCACATGGTTACAGGAGGGAGGGTGGGATGAACAACCTGATCAAGATGTGATTTTGGAAAATGCTCATTTGTTTACCTACTCCTTTAAAACACAAAAGAGTCTGATGATGGACAAGGCCCGGTGTGGCGGTGCATTCTGGGAACACTGGCACTTAGGAGGCTGAGGCAGCAGCATGGTGCGTTTGGGAGAGTTGTGGACCTGTAACCCAACCCCCCAGTGTGCGCGCCCTTCATTCCCAAAGGAAATCACAAGTGGAAGGCACGCTTCCGGTGCTTGGTATCCGATAGCCAGTCAGGGTGGCTGTAGATCAACCAAAGCGCGTGCATGAGGAGAGAAGAGCGGGGAAAGAGAACTCTGCACCCTTGGCCGGCGTAACCTGCCTGGATGGAGAGACGAAGCAGATGGTTTTCAGGAATGCTGAGTGAAGCTGTTGGGTCAGGAACCAGATCTCACAGGGTTCAAGTCCTGCTTCTCCTGCTGGGTTCATAAATGTGCTGCCTTCTATAAATGATCTCCTATCACCTTGGCTATATTTGCCAAATGGGGACATGGAGCCGTGAGATTCTAAGAAGTGCTGCATTACAGGCACTCAGCGCAGGGCTGGCATGTCATGTCAGGAGAGGGTAGCCATTGCTAACATACGTGAAATAGCTAACTGTAGAAAAGAGAAACATGAACTCATACAGCGACATAAATACAAACAAGATGGAAATGTCTTCTGGGGGAAAACGACATATTACTGAGGACAGACAGTGTGCTGTCCATAGCTTCTCTAGTAAACCAGGTCAGTCTTCAGTAGCTTCTTAGAGTTCTTGGATGCCAGGGAAAGATGAGGAGCCACAGTAACTATGAGGTTAGATACTTTTTAAGACTGTCTTGTGTATTGATCCTGGTGTCTTCATGTGTTTATATTCATTGACAAAGACCAAAAAAAAATTGTAATGAAATTCTTGCCTGAATAATTTGTTGGAATGCATCTGTACATCTTTGACAGTAGTAATCATTGAAATATGGCAAAGTCTTCATTTTGACAGTTTAAATCCCTTAAGCGAAAACTACTCTAGGAAAATACCAACACAATCTATGCTCTCGTGTAGCTCCCCCCTTGCTCTGTCAGAATTGCAGAGCTAGCCTGGAAGCCCAGATTTCCAGACTGATGTGTTGTTGTGCTGGGATTTTACAGTATGGAGTATTTTTGTTTTCGATTTTGTGTGTGACAAGGTCTTGCTATAGAGCCCATACTGGCCTCAAATTCACAGTCCTCCTGTCTGAGCTGCCTAGGGCTGGGATTATAGGTAGGAACCACCTTACCTTTCCTCTATGTAAGTTTATAAAAACTTATATGGCGGCAGTAATTGTAGCCTACTTCTTTACCCACAAAAATCCACAGGGCTGTGTTATTCACAGAACATGGGCATGTTAGGATCAAGGATATATTATTCTTCAGAGAACGCTGTCTAGGCCCCCACACAAAGGCATGAAACTCAATTGCACGTTGGATCTTGCCTAGAGAATCCCTTTATATAGTAGACTGAAGGCCGGTCTGACTCTCTGGGGCTTGAACTCATCGCTTCACTCCCTCAACTTACTTGAGCGGCACCGCCAGCCCCCAAGACTCCCATAGTGCCCCACTGTTGCATCAAAATGGCCATCCAGTCTTTGTAGGGTTCTGAGGAATCTGCACCTACTCTGCAGAACTTTTCATAGGAAGGAGACAATTCTGCTTTGCCTGCTTCTCTTCGGCCCCGTTGGCAGCGGTTTTAGGATGTAGGGTTGAAGCGCTGTGCTGAGGGAGCCTTCCCTTGCTCTCACACTCTCTCAGTTGCTCTGTGTCTTTTCCTGAAGAAGGGCTCATGACCTGCCCAGGGACTAGCAAGGTGACAGGAAGGAAGGTGTGTGTGTGTGTGTGTGTACGTGTGTGTAAGAGGAAGCACCGTTAGAACTTCCCAGTGTGGATTACACTATGACAGGAGCAGAGGAGCACCCCCAGGGTCGC